TGGCTCAGTCACTCCTGAGAAATTGGCGCCTGTTATTTGAGTGGACCCTACAACCCTAAAAAAGGACGTGAAGCCATAGGAATGCGGTAATAAATGGGAACCGTATATTGGGCTACCAATCGAACCCCGGGGGAAAGCCAAGAAGAAGCTACCGCTTCTGCCACGGAATAAGACAGAGGGCGTGTCAAGTGTAACCTCCCTTGTCAGAGTAATCGAATGTCCTGGCCAATCTGCTGATGGCAAGTCTCGGTACGATGGAGTATAATAGTGTAGCCTCATTGACCTTTGTCATGCACATTCTACAAGCTGGAATATTTTCGCTCTTTTGGTGCACACATTGTTGGTGGCTCGGAAGGTGGTAGAATTTCCGGGACAGGGACATCGAAGTTTGACGGAAAAGCGCAACCTAGCTGAAACACTCATGAAGCACAAGAAAGTATCACACTCATCTTACTGACATCGTCCTACTATGCACTAACGGCGATATCCCAGAACCGCGGTGAAGATGCCATGCCAGACTTGGCGTGTACCAGATGCCGAGAGCGCAAGATACGCTGCGGCCGGGAACGGCCTCATTGTCGTAACTGTGAGAGAGAGGGCGGTGTGATTTGCCTGTATCGGATTCCTGCCAAACGCGTAAATCATCTAAAGTTATTGTCAGTCAATCTCTTTGGCTAGCAAGGACATCGATCGCTAATCATGCTATAGGTGCGGTAGCATTGAACGACTGCAGGATCGATTGACGATAATCGAGTCTCACCTTAGTCGACTCCAAGGTCTTGGCCCCCGGACTCCGGGGTTCGAAGAGGACCACGAATCATCACAAACAAGAACCTTGCTAGAGGGTGTATCTGCAACAAGTAGCTGCGTTGATATTGACGATGAAGAGGAGCACAAGGAGGAGGTTTCCAGGATTCTTGCCCCTAAACAGTCAGATTATTACTTTGGACGCTCATGCGTTGCTGCTCTGTGCGAAAACCTCAAGGTAAGGGTTCAGTCGGTACCCCACGCAACAGGGCCTATATGGCGACCGCTCTGCGAAATGTTGCAGCATTTATGCGATATCACAAAAGTATCCGAACCTATCCCGTCATATAGTGACCGGCTCGTCGTTCCACTGCTGCCTAGGCAGCAAGCTACCGCTGCCATAGATCGGTTCCTCCAGAACCTAGACTGCCAGACCGATGTTTTCGTACCGAACAATCTAAGGGCCAACCTCCAGCGCCTGCACTCGCAGCATCAGCCGCAGCCCGATGATGCCGCGTGGGGCATATGCTTCCAGACCATTACCCTGCTGGCCCGGGTCACATCCCAAGCTACGCAGGGATTGCTCGAAAATTTCGTGCATTCCTTTGTACCCAGCCGGGCGGTAGTGGTTTGCCCCGGTCTGCTAAATACGCCTAGACTCATAAACGTTCAGGCTTTGCTTCTCCTCGTATGGTAGTAGACTTAGGACCTTCTGGTGTGCAGAACTGACATTGAATATGTAGAGTGTTGCGGCACAAGCTTTCGACTATTCTGGATCGGCAGAGTTGATATTCGCCCATGCGTGCACACTGGCGCGAATCTTAGGTTTGAATTGCAGCCAAGCTTCAGACCACGGCGACATTGAACAGGTCGAACGAGCCAAGGTACTTCGAGCATTGTACGTCCGTGATAGAAGTTTGTATACGCTTCGTGGATCAGTGCTTTGGATGCCCTGTGGCGAATATAACATCGCTACTCAGTTGCGTGCAACTAGTAATGAGTTAGGGAAGCACTCTACCCGGCTCCATCTAGCCATGGTGCAGGAAGACATACACCGACTGGCTCAAGTCGGCTCGAATTCCGCGAACGCACCTGACAATCAAGAACTGCTGATGCGCATTGAAAAGCAGCTTGATGAGTATGGTCGAACATTGTATTTATTCCACCGCCAAAACGCTCCGTCAGAATGCTGCGGATCCCATGCTATAGATACGATGGAGTTCTTGGCAACGCGAATCATGGCGTTTCAACATGGACAGGAATCATATCACACGCGACAAATTCAGCAAGATGCGCGGTTGAGCTGCTTGCTTTTGCTGATAGCACACGGGGACCAGGATCCGGCGATTTCATACTGCTTCAACGCTTTGTTAACGGGAGAAAAAACCACACCAAATAGCAACCATCAGTGTCATTGTTTCCCTAAAGTGTCATTCACGAGTGTGTTAGACGCGTTCTCCGTTCCAGCCTTTTTCATTCTATTACAAGATCTTCTCATGTTGCGCCCGCGTGAAACTCCAGCTGGCATGATATCCGACTTGGATTTGCTGCGGCGGGTGTCAGCTTGCTATACCGATCATGCTAGTCGAATGCCGGCAAATACCTACCACCAAAAGTTAGCTTGGGTATTTACACAATTGATGTCTTTGGTTCGCGTTGTTGTGGACGCACGTTTGGGCTGTCATTTTATTGACTCACCTCGGGCCCCTGCTCAGAATGACCTCCCCAGTCCCCCATACTGGCCGGTGGCTCAGCAATCAACCGCCCCTTTGAATTGGGAGAGTTGGCTCAGCGGTGCATCATCGCTGGCACTGCCTTCCCTTGGACCTACGACGCCACTCGGGACATGGAACGCTGGAACCCCGGCCCTGGACGGCGAAGGGTTGATGACGTGGCCAACAGCCAGCGGGAGGCCGCCTGTGGCACTGACAAATTCACATTATGAGCACGTAGGTGGTGCTGAAGATAGGAATGCACTGTAAGGTGATGCCTGTAGATTGTGCTTGCCGCTTGTCCTCGGAGCGGAGGTACTTCCAGGCGCTTGTCTGAGGCTGGTGGGCGATGACGATTTGCAGTGACAGCTCAGCATAACTGGCATGGCTAGGCATCGTCTAGGCATATATAGATTCGGCTAGACTGCAACCATACCTCTGTTTTCCCTGATGGAGGATAACTGACTGAAATGATTAACTGTGTGCCAATAGGTAGCACAATATGATGTCTTACAAAAGCCGACTAAGTGGTAATCAGTAAATCGTGTGCGACAAACCACTCGTCAGAATTGAATGCTCACCAAGATCAGTTGGCACTTGGCACTTGGCCCTATTAGACCTTACCATCACATAGTTGTCCTAATTTCCTCTCAACCTTCTGTCTTCCATCATAGGGAATCTTGTAGTGTCTGTTACACTGTGTCTCCGGGGTCCGGGGGTACACCTCGGTTCCCGAAATCCGGCGAACCCTGGCTGTGTTTTCCATAAGTTATGAGGAGGTAATGCATCGCTGGCAAAGCCACTCATTGCCCCATCGTTAAGGATGCTTATAAAGAGGGATAGACCTCTACTAGTAGAATGGCATACAGGACTGTGAAAGCCTTAAACTTATTGAACATCATCGCACATCGATTATTGCTTACTTTCCATTTCTCCCGGCATTAGCATAGTTTAAGAGAATTAGGGGACTCCTCTGCCCTCTATACACAGCCATAAGATTCAACTCACTTGGCTGTGTCTTGATTCGAGATCAGAGCAGAATACGCACACAATATAGATCATCATCTACAGAATTCACCACCATCATGTCTCAACCTCACCCCTTCTCCGGCCACTGGCAACCCAATCCTCACCTCCAGCACCTCTACTACGGCCCCGACTGCGTCTCCCAGCACCTCCTCGATACCCTCCCAAAATCTACATCCAAAGCCATCATCATCACCGGCACGACGCTAGCTACCCGAACTCCACTCGTCCAGCGCCTCCAAACCCTCTTATCCATCCACCACGCAGCCACCATCTCCTCCATAGCCCAACACACTCCCTCCCACATCATAGACGATGCCATCAACACCATACTAACCCTCCACGCTGAAGACCCCACAATCGACACCCTCATCTCCCTAGGCGGCGGCTCCCCCATTGACGCCGCTAAAATCCTTGCCCTTAAATTCCATCAAGCCACCAATATAACCCTAACACACCTCGCCATCCCCACGACCCTCAGCGCCGCTGAAACCACCCCCGCCGGAAGCACCACGCAGCCCGATGGAACTAAAACCGGCGTTCGAGATGCGAAAATGGCAGTTCATGCTATTTTCTACGACCCGGTGTATACGAAATACACCCCGATGAATCTCTGGCTCAGCACGGGTATCAGAGCCCTAGATCATGCCGTCGAGGCGATGTACCATCCCACAGCCAGTGAAGTGCCCTGGAAGATCCTTGCTATATACGCAGTGAGGGAATTATTCGAGTGCTTGCCCAAGGCGAAGAAAGATGGTGATATGAGCGACGACGCCACAACTGTTAGGCTGATGCTAGCTTCATTTGCTAGTTCGGGACTTAAAGGTGAGGATCTGGGCGCTGGGATGGGATTATCACATTCGCTGGGATTAGCGCTGGGGAGTCCGTATGGGATTCCGCATGGGGTTACGAGTTGTGTTACGCTTGGGAAAGTGGTCGGGTTTATGGTCGGTGAGGGGAAGGGGAGGGAGATTGCAAGGTTGGTGGTGGAGGCGGTAGGGGGTGTGAGGACAGGTGAGGATGAGGTCGACGCAAGGGTTGTCGGGGAGAGGATTGTGGCGTTGGTCGAGACTCTGGGGTTAGGGGTTAGGTCCTTGGAGGATTTGGGTGTGGGTAGGGATGAGGTTCCGGTTATTGCGAGGAGAGCTCTGAGGGGAGATGATAAGGGGGAGTTTTATGACAGGGTTGAGGGGTTGGTTGGGTCGTTCTTTTGATGTAGGGATTCAAGGGGGAGTTGAGTGGTTCGTATTTCCGCTACGAGGGTTCGGGGAGATGGTGTCACTTGGCAGAAATAATTGAACGATTGAGTTTTGCCTTCATCGTAATGTTGCTATTGTGTTCATGGCAGCTATGGTGTAGCTGTATGCTGACAGATGTAATCTGCTCGGATTCCGGACGCCGCATCGGAATGTACTCGCTCGTATACACAGTAGGATCATTTATAATGACAGCCACCCCTCCTTGGCATAAACTAGGATAAATCGCTTCCAGAAAGCTAATTTACTAGCCAGGAAAATGACTTCAACTATTCGAGAACTAGCTACACAGATCCTTGCCCTCTGCACCCAACTTGAACAAACCTGCAATGAAGCTGATATCCCCCCTCCGTCACTCTCCGCAGACACCGAAAGTACATTCTGGTCTGATTCTGAGATAACAGCTACACGAAATACAGCTCTTGGTCTCCTGGACGAGCTAACGTTGCTCATACAAGGCCCACAAGAATTTCTACATGAGTTCGTCGCCTCCCACTGGGACCACGGGGCGCTATATGCGTTCCTCCACTCACAGACCCTGGAGCATATAGCCCGCTCTGGGAGGGCATCTATTGAAGACCTCGAATCTCAATCCGGTATCTCAGCGGACAAACTTGTTCGGATTCTTGGGCTACTTCGGTGTCGGCGCATCATTGATGAGCCCGAAACGGGTGTCTATACTTTGACTGCTGTGTCGAAAGAGCTAACCAAAGACAGTGACTCAAGGGCGTGTTTGGAGTTCCAGTACGTTTTTTCCTGCAAGCTAGGGGTGTGAGTGCTTATGGAATAGATTATTCGAGACGCGTATTGCGAGTGCGCATTTGGCGGATGCTTTGGCGCGGAAGCCGAATGGGTATGTCGACGGTGTATCGGCGTTCAAAGAGGGGTGATTATACACCATCACCATCGTATTGTGTGATAGGTTGGTGCTAATGGAATAGATTTGGCATGGAGATGTACGACTGGCACGCTTGCCATCCTGACAAGGGAGAGCGTTTTCGTCGTGCTATGAGGGGAGTCTCGCGCGGTGAGTGTCTTTGTACTTATGTCCGTGCATAGAGATTTGCTAAAGACATCGGATATGCTAGCCCTTGATCCTGCGGATTCCCTAATCGAGGGCTATATCCAACAGCACACGCCCATCACCAAGACCAAGATCGTCGAGATCGGAGGCCGCTATGGCTTCGCCTCTGTCTCCCTCGTACAGAAACACCCAGAACTCTCATTCGAAGTCCGCTCCGACTCTCAAGACTTCCTCGACCGCGGCAGCGCACAAGTCTCATCTTCTTGTCGGGAACGAATATCCTTCAGGCATTGCCAGTCACTTTTCGATTCACCCCCCACGTGCGATGCGCATACGGTATGGCTATACGTTATTAGGAATTTGCTGTGGAATTGGTCTGATACAGACGTTGTGAGATTGATGAGAGCTATTAAGCAAGGAGTGGGTGCATCTACCCGTATCTTGGTTACGGATGGAGTATCTCCCGTGTCATCGCAGTTCCCACTACAAGAGGAGATGGCGTATCGACGGAGGGATATTACGACTATGAGTATGCATAACGTGAAGCAGAGGACACAGGAGGAGTGGGTAGGGGTGTTTAAACAGGCTGCCCCGGGTGTACGGGTGGAGACAACGTTTGCGAGAAGTTCGCATGTCTATAAGGGTATGTGGGAGATCAGCTTTGTCGATGAATGATGATGGAGATAGTATTTAGAAGAGCTATTGAATCTACATTGGGTAGTAACGTGACGACGGAATTGTGTAGATGAGAAGAATGAATATGTACGTCGAAAATACCGTTCATGGACTCGCTTGGCACTTTCCAGTTCTTAACTTTGCTGTCAAGCATGGCACAGGTTATGGCAGATCCTCAAGGTTGAACCCGGAAAAGGCACTCCAAGGTCACCACATGCCCAATCGCAGCATCAGCCCATAATTATGCCGATAACCACCGATAGCCAAGCACAAGTATCAATCTGATCAGTTGATTTTCAAAGCAATGTTTCACAACCAGCCCGAAAGCAAACCATGTCAGCTCCCGAAACATGAAGGAAAACTAATGCCAAGCCAATGTACTCTTCATCGGGTTCCGACCTACTGAACTGGAGCAATTATATACTTTCTACTACCAATGCTACTTCCCATAGAGATAATCTAGCCAGCTTCCCTGTAGCAACCAAGATCATGGACCGCGTCGACCTATCCTACACAAAGAACCTATCCATCCATCATTACCAGCCGGAGAAGACGCCATGGCGTCGACTGGGACAATGTACTACCGCTTTCCTGCATACTCCCTTACCTGTGCTCACTAACGAGAAAAGACCTCTATCGCGTTATGGAAGACGGGACGCACACTCAATATCGTCTCGCCGCAATTGAAAGTCTCCTTCCGCCTCGCAGCGAGGGTCCCGTGTTCCATTTCCATGAGATGCATGACGAGGGGTTTTACGTTACGGTGATTATCTCGCTATCATAACAATCCCCAGATCTTAGAAAGGAGGTCTCCTGATAATGAACGGCATGCAGAAAGGAACCGTCCGTTTCCACAGCCCCGGCCGTGCCGACGTTGATGCCAAAGCCGGTGACCTGATTATAGTCCCTATCCGTCTGCCTCATCGCTTCAGTAACCCTTTCGACGAAGAAGCTGTCTTTATGAACACAGCTACACCGGGATTCTTCGTGAGGTACTTCGAGTACCTTGAGTACTTGATTGGCGAGGGGATGGTGCTTACGCCGGAAATCAACAAGGCCGCGTTGAGAAGGTTTGCGACTGTGCCGGTAAGCAAGGAGGAGGTAGAAATGTTGGAGATGGAGAGGATGAGGGATGGGAGTGTAGCTGTGGCTGAGACTGCGACTGAGGGGGAAAAGTTCGTGGATTTCTTGGTCGAAGAGAAAAAGGGTGAATAGCCTTAGTGTTGTTAGGTTTGCGTTGAGAAGTCATAACGGGTGGCCTAAGCGTACGCATATGTTGCTATCAAGGGGTGGAATGCAGACCGTTTAGCAGGCCCGGCATGTAAAGTGGCATTTTTAAGTTATCGAGGCTTAGCGTTGGAATGCCACTAATGATAATGTGTGGTTGGCGTGGGCTATGAGGCAAGGGATTTAAGTGGCGTTAGCAGCTGCAGAGAGAAGTACTGGACCAAACGTATTGATCTAATCTCATCTTCACCACGGGGATTTAATCCGAGATATGGTTTTTGTCTCACACATTATCGTTGGCCAGCCCTCGGTACCAATCTCACTAACAACTGCGGTTTCACCCAGAACCCAAAGACCTTCTGTCCATCAGCCCAACATTTTCCTGTCCCAACTAGCTCCATATCAAAAAGAAACAGCATTTTCGCCGCAATTAGCCGCATTTCGGCCCACGCTAGGTTCTTACCAAGGCAGTTCCTGGGCCCAAAAGAGAAAGGCTGGCAGCTTTTCGGGCGATCAATGGAGAAAGGCCCCTTCTCCTGACATTCTGGCAACCACCGCTCAGGTAGGAACTCCTGTGCACGATAGAAGTTGCGTGGGTCGTGGTAACATGCAAAGTGATTGACTCCCACCGTCACTCCAGCGGGTACAAATTTACCGTCAATAACTGCGCCGTTGGCTGGGACAACTCTGGGTAGAGTCACAGCTACAGGAGGGTAGATACGCAGCGTCTCCTGCAGTACGGCGTTTAGATATGGCATCTGGGTGACAGAAGGGATATCTATCTGCTCGTACTTCTCGAATGCGCCTCGGATCTCAGCGATGAGTCGGTCGTACACACTCACATGCGATAGAATGTAGTATGTGAACGCGCTTAGTGCTGTCGCTGACGACTCTGACCCGGCTATGCTGAAGGAAAAGGCATTAACGTTCATCTCTGCCCGTGACATCCCCTTTTCCGTCTCCATCGCAGCGAGGATGTAGTGCAGAAAGTCCTTGCGGTCGGTGTTTCGAGCTACGCGACAGTTGACGGTTTCAATAACTCGCTGCATGTTCTGTGCCCGTGCTCCCGCAATGGACTTGGGCATGAATAGCTGCCGAAAAGAGAGTAGATTGTAGTAGGCGAACATTTGGATGAAAGTCAGTTCTTTGGAGATTGCACGGATAGATCTCACGAAGGGATCGTATTCCGCGGTGTTCAGGCAATGGAAGCTTTCGCCGAAGGAAAGGTCTCGAATGAGATCATATGCTATTGATTTGAGAATCGTTGAAATCAAGTTCGGACAGCTGCTAACATACCAATGAAGGTGAACCAGTCTACCATGTTCTGCGGGCCATCGTTTCCTCGAGCGGCCAGTTGTCTCATGAGCTGGTCTACATAACCCTGGATGATGCCTTCTTGCTCACGTAATGCTTTCTCGGAAAAAGCATGCGATAGAAGCCGTCGCTGTCTCGTATGTGTCTGTCTGTCTGCCGTAAGGATATCTGTTCTTTGTCAGTTTTGACTGAGACAATCCTTAATACGGAAGTATACTTTGCACTCCAGTTGGCGTTCGCAGCGAAAAGACAGGATCTTTGCCCATCTCATCCGATCGCGGCCCGTAGATAGCTCTCCATGCTTGCTCCGAATTATAGGATAGTTCGTTCGGAGCTACTCGCACGATGTGGCCGTATCGTAGATGCAATTCGAGCAGCTTCTGGTTTAGCCGGCCTTGAGCCTGGTACCAGCACCATGGTAGCCGCGTGGCAGCCCATAGCCTGGAGCCTGGATACCGCCTCAGTGGATGCAGAAACGCATTGTAACATACGTAGAGAACGATGCATGCGAGCAGCTGTTGACATCAGTACAAGCCGCCTCGAGCTCGAAGACTTACCGATGTAAGGGCAGATGCACCAAGTCCAAACATAGGACCTAAACTGACAACCTGAGTCAATGCCATTCCTCTGAAAGTTTGGAAACATGGTGTTAGTGTATTGAGAGCTGGAAAGACATGTGTATCGGCGAGATTATGAAACAGCCCAATTGAGTAACTCGTGGAGTTCGTCTCCTCCTCTTGCAGCAAAAGCAAGTCCCGAAGTGGATGTAGTCAGCTGTGCAATCGGACCCCGAGACTCTGTGAGACCTGATAGCTAGTCAGCATTGCAATATTAACCGCCATCATGCCATGGAATGCGAGTGGGGCGTTTATCAGAGTATGAGTTTAGGCGCAAGGGGGTGACGCCTCCAAAGATCTAGACTGTTACTATATCGGACATAAGGAAAACAGGAAAATACAGGGGGGACTATTTCATAGATTTCACTAGCTAATCAGGCCAAGCTAAAGTCAATTAGCCTTTTGTGCTTTTACTTCAACATTCGTCTTCGAAACAAGTCATAAGAAAATGTGATTTGTTAGACTGACAAATAGGATGTCCATTTCAGAGAAACTATATCTTATCCCAAATTTGAAGCCAAAAGTATATCTAGATAACTGGAAAAGAAACACTTGTCATCGGTCATCTCGTAACAAGGGAAAATGCCGCGGAAGTATGCAGTCTGTCGGTTTGCTGAAGTTTGGTCGGAAATGGCCTCCGTCGTACAGTAACCCTGACTGGTATATCGCCAGCAAGGTCCCGTATACAGCAAATGTTGTTACTTTCAATGCACAAGCAGAAAGCATGGACTATGGCATGTGGCTGAATCAGGTGATAATACCCAAACCTTGATGAGATACAATAATAAACCCTTGCCTGATGGTACTCCTATACCACCCCGCTCCTTCCCCTCTGCCACATTCATCACTGAACCATCGAACCACTGCACACAGACTCACATCCAACATGACCGTCCCCAGCTCAGAGGACACACACGTCCTTATCATCGGCGCAGGTATCACAGGCCTTATCCTCGCACAATCTCTCAAGAAGGTAGACTTGACCCCCACGCCGCCAGAATTTAGCCCAATACCCCTCCCTGGGTAACAGTAACTGTCTAACGTGCCGCAGGCCGGCATCCGCTACTCCATCTTCGAAAAGGAAGTGTCTATGAACTATCGCAGCAATGAATGGACGATGGCTATTCACTGGTCTCTCGACCGTCTGCGCGACCTCCTCCCCGCCGACCGTTTTGCGCACATGGAGTCCGTCTCGTGCAACCCAGACGTTGCCCTGAACGCGGGCGGAAACTATCCCATCATCCACGGAGAAACTGGTCACTTGATTGCCGGTGTGCCGTATGCCAAAGGGCTGCGGGTTCCGCGCAGTAAGATGCGGGATCTGTGTAGCAAGGGGATTGACGTCCAGTATGGAAAGAATCTGATCGATGTGGCGTTCACTGAAAGCCATAAAGGAGTAGTTGCATTGTTTGATGATGGTTCCATGGTTGCTGGAACTATCCTCATCGGTGCGGATGGGCCCCGCTCGAAGGTCCGTGAGTTTGCCATGGGATCGGCCGAAAAGGCGGCTGTTAGCCGCTTCCCTATTTTTCATACTAACATGACTGTTACCTACAACGATGCCGAGAAAGCTAGATATGTGAGGCAGCGTTTTCCGACGAGTTATCTGGCTTTGAGTGATAGGTCGTATCATGCATTCCAATCTAGTAGGTATTCATATCTTGTTTACGTCACTTTGGGTGGGTTACTGATTGGGTAGTCTCGAGCATGCCTGATGGTCCTGATCACCCTGAATCTTGGATATTTCATTTGGCTATGGCCTGGTTCATGGACCACGGTCAACCTGCAACTTACCGCGAAAGACTAGATATGATCCGCGAGAAAGCCCAGAGTCTCGCTGAG